CCCTGGACTCCTCATTCAGGGCTGTTTGTTTAAGCAGGCAGGGATGGGTTGGGAGAAACAACCCGGTGTTTGTCGGTGTTTATCTGTACTACTGGCATTGATAGCTTTTGGAGACAACTCCCTGATATGAGTAAGGCAGGATGGGTTACAAGAGAAAAGATGATGGGGGTCCAAAGTTGAATACCCAGAGGTCCGAGGCAAGCACCAACCCTGGCATGGGCGGGCTGGGTGGGGGGCACCTGCCAGCTGAGGAGGACGCCAAACTCAGCGCCTGGATCATCGTGGAATAGGGGCCCCGGGCTTGCCAGGTGTTTGCAAGAAGTTAGGAACGGGAAGTTTTGTTTGTTTGTTTGCCTTTTTTTAAAATGCAAATCCATGACTTTTTTTTTAATATAAAGATTTATTTACTTATTTGAAGGCAGAGCTACAGAGAGGCAGAGACAGACAGAGAGAAAGGTCTTCCATCCACTGGTTCACTCCCTAAATGGCCGGAGCTGCGCTAGTCTGAAGCCGGGAGCCAGGAGCTTCTTCCAGGTCTCCCACACGGGTGCAGGGGCCCAAGGACTTGGCCATCTTCTACTGCTTTCCCAGGCCACAGCAGAGAGCTGGGTCAGAAGTGGAGCAGCTGGAACTCAAACCAGTGCCCAAATGGGATGCTGGCACTGCAGGCAGTGGCTTAACATGCTGCACCACAGCACTGGCCGCCTCCCTGACTCTTTAAACGTGGGCCACTAAGTGAATTAAATCCCTTTGGGCCAAACCATGACTTCAGGCTGCCGTGTGCCACCCGGCACCTGGTTTTACCGCCCAGCTGCTCTGCACTCCACACGTCTCCTCACCTCAGTGACTTGGTCTTTCCTCCTCCCCTCCCTGTCTCTGTGCTGTCATCTCTGCTGACCTGCCCCCCCTTTTTCTTTTTGGACAGGCAGAGTGGATAGTGAGAGAGAGAGAGAGAGAGAGAGAGAAAGGTCTTCCTTTGCCGTTGGTTCGCCCTCCAATGGCCGCCGTGGCCGGCGCGTGGCGGCCGGCGCACCATGCTGATGCGAAGCCAGGAGCCAGGTGCTTCTCCTGGTCTCCCACGGGGTGCAGGGCCCAAGCACTTGGGCCATCCTCCACTGCACTCCCGGGCCACAGCAGAGAGCTGCCTGGCCCTTCTTAAAGCTTGGCTCACTCCTTCCCTGCCTTGAGCCCCAAGCTGGCCTCGAGCCCTCCGCCTCCCAGCTTCCCCTCTCCCTGCTTCGGGACAGTTTGCTGACCCTGAACAAAGAACCCCATGACCTTCACTTTTGCTAAGACTGTGTTCCTGCCAGGAACACCCTCACAGACATCCATACCCACCTGCTCATCTCAATTTTGCCCCATTTAAAAAAATTGTGGTAACCTGCTCATTAACAAAGGGGTAATAGCATTAGCTATTTTTATTTTATTTATTTATTTTTTTTTGACAGGCAGAGTGGACAGTGAGAGAGAGAGACAGAGAGAAAGGTCTTCCTTTGCCGTTGGTTCACCCTCCAATGGCCGCCGCGGCCGGCGCGCTGCGGCCGGCACACAGCGCTGATCCGATGGCAGGAGCCAGGAGCCAGGTGCTTTTCCTGGTCTCCCATGCGGGTGCAGGGCCCAAGCACCTGGGCCATCCTCCACTGCACTCCCTGGCCACAGCAGAGGGCTGGCCTGGAAGAGGGGCAACCGGGACAGAATCCGGCGCCCCGACCGGGACTAGAACCCGGTGTGCCGACGCCACTAGGCGGAGGATTAGCCTAGTGAGCCGCGGCGCCGGCCCAAGCATTAGCTATTTTAAGTGGCATTAAGGACATTCATACTATTGTGCCACCATCACCACCATCCATGTCCAGAACTCTCATCATCTTGCAAAACTGAAGCACTAAACCCATTAAGTAACTCCCCACTGCTCCCTTCCCTGAAACCAACCAGTGTTTTTTGTTCTCTGTTTTGTTTGAGAGGCAGAGCGACAGAGCGAGTGAGCGAGCGAGCTTCCATCTGCTGGCTCACTCCCCAAATTCCTGTAAGAAGCCAGGAAACAGGATCTCAATCCAGGTCTCCCATGTAGGTGGCAGGAACCCAACTACCTCAGCCATCAGCACTGCACCCCAGGGTCTGCATAAGCAGAAGGCTGGAACTGAGAGCCAGAGCCCAGTATGGAACCCAGGTACTCCCCCTGCGACGGGCAGGAATCGTAACTGGCTTCTTAACCTCTCAGCTAATACCACCCCAGTTCTATGATGTACCTCCCATGAATGATTTATGCAGCATTGGTTTTTCTGTCTGTGTGATAAGTTTATTTCACTTAGCATAATGTCCTCAAGTTTCACCCGTGTCCTTCTTTTAAGGCTCAGTAGCAGTCCTCTGTAGTACTCCGTGTTGCTGATCCGGTCATCTGTCAGTGGGCGCTTGCACTGCTTCCACGTTTTTGGCTGCTATGAACAATGCTGTTGTGAACATGGGTTTCCAAACACCTCTTTGAGACCCTTGTTCCTCCGTGAGGCCACTTCTCAACCTTCTTAATCCCCGGGGTCTGATCAGCCTCTGCCTCAGGCCAACAGCCATTCCCTCTGTACCCAGTATCCACAGGCAGGGCCTAGCAGGGGGAAATCTGGGAAGAATGGGACCTGGTCCCCACCTGAGGAGTCCTGTGCAGGTGAGGGCAGACAGGCTAACACGGTGATGTGCAGCAGAAGGGCGTACCCCATGCAAGAGTGGAGAACAGCAATGACCTTGGCCTGGAGAGCCAGGGGAAGCTTTTTGAGCTGGGTCGTGTGGGATGTGGGAGCTTTCCAGGGGGCAAAGTGACATCCGAAGTGGAGGCGACTACCTGTGCAAAGCAGGAAGGAGGGCAGGCAAGAAAGGTCTGAGGGTCCTTTGGGTGGGGATGGAGCAGAGAATGGCTGGGGAAGTCACAGAGCCAGGAGCAGTGTGTGTGTGTGGGTGGTTTAGTTAGTGTTTACATCCATGCTGCCTGTGCTGCAGAGTGTAAGCTCCAGGAAAACAAAGGCTGCGTCTGGGCACTCATTGCTCCACACCTGCCACCTACCTGAAACTGCACTCCCCTTAAATAAACCCTGGCAGCAGACACAGCATCGCGCCCAGCAGTGGTGAGAGTGCCCCCTAGCGGCAGCAGCAAGGTCCCACCCCTGCTGCCAGCCCTGACGCTGCTGTGCCCCGCCCACAGCCCTGCAGCTGTTACCAGGGATCGTGCTTAGCCCGGCATCACCTTGCTTGATCTCCACCCCTCCCTGAAAGCATTCTTACTTCAGGCCAACAAACACCTGCCAAGCACTTGCTCTACACCGGTTGCTGTCTGAGGCTCTGGGATAGAGTAGTTATTCATCACTCCAGCCCTGCAGCCTGCCTAGAAAAACCAACGGGTCATGGGGAGTGGAGGAGGAATGCAGTCTCAAAGGATGGATGAGTGACAGGCAACGCAGGGACTCAGAAGGGGAAAAGCAGTGCTCTGCAAAATGGAACAAAGGGAGCGAGCCCCGCCCCTGCCATCTTATTAACTACCATTCACCAAGGTCACAGCAGGAGCGATGTGCTGGGGGCCCAGATGACTAAGTTTCCACCTGCCGGCTGCTGACCAGACACAGGAGCACAAGAAGGGGTGCTCGGTGCTCCGGGTCCTGGGAGCAGCCCCAGGAGCAGGGAGTGCCCACCACCTGGGTGCCCCCGCAGGCTGTGAGCTTGGGCTGAGGGATGAGAAAGCTGAGGGGTAGTCCAGGCTGACAGCACAGCGGGTACAAGACATAAAGTGTTACCCAGGGGAAGGAGGCCCACCCTAGCAGGCTGTGAAGGTGGCTCCCGGGCCTGGGGCTTGCCTTGGAGGTGTGTGTGGAGCTGGGGACACATGGAACTGTCCCCTGCGACTTCCTATCTGGTCATGCATGCTGGTGGTCCCTCTGGGGCTTGAAAGCAGCTCTCAGGGGGTCGTGCTGTGCTGCAGGGAGTTAAACTGCAGCCTGCAATGCCAGCATCCCATGCAAGCGCCAGTTTGAGTCCCGGCTGCCCCACTTCCTGTCCAGCTCCCTGCTGATGTACCTGGGAAGGCAGCAGAAGGTGGCCCAAGTACTTGAGCCCCTGTCACCCATCTGTGAGACCCGGACAGAGCTCAGGACTCCTAGCTTCAGCCTGAACCAGTGGATGGCGGATCTCTCTCTCTCCTCTTTCTGTAACTCTACCTTTCAAATAAATAAATAAATCTTAAAATAAAAACAAAAACCAGCCCCAACCTCCCCCATAAGCCTAGACTCTGGAGTCACCATGTTAGGGCTGTGCCCAGTCCTCCCACACTGGCACGAGGACCTTGGCAATTCACCTTGACCACACCAGGTTCCTCACCTGTAAAATGTGCATAATGATACCTCCATCACTGGGTTGTCTCTGAGCCAACAGTTTGAGATGGGTAAAGCCCTGAAATAGTGCTTCCTGTGTGCTTACCTGGACTGCACCACATTCTTAGTGATCAGTAGTGCTTGGCACAGTAGTGTGCAGAAGAAATGAAGGAACAAATGAAAGGGCTATTTTTGACAGCAGGAGGTGGCTTGAAGACAGGCAAGGGGCAGTTTGGAGCGGAGTCAGGAGGTCAGAGCCAGGGAGGGCGGCATTCCTGGGAAGCAGCCAAGGCTATGGTTGCTGGGTGGGGAGGTAGCCGATGACCTGTGGCTGCAGGTGCAGGGGCCAGGGTTCCAGTCTGTGCACCCCTCCCCCAACGCCCAGCTATCCCAGCAGTGCAGGCGTGGCCAGCTCCTGAACAGGAAGAGATACAGCACCCAGGCCCTCCCAGGCCCCTGCTCCCCTGGCCCTCGCCCCTCCCCCCTAGTGGTCAAACTTGGCACTTCTCTCCACCCTCAGGGCCCAGGTGGTTTCGGCAGAGGTGGGAAAACCTGCTCCACAGGGTGGCCGAAGCCTGAACCGGTTGGATAGGGCGGTCCCATCTCCCCCCCTGCAACCTGTCCCTCTCCTGGCCCTCAGAACACAGGCAGAAACCCCACAAAACAGCTTTATTGCTTGATGAGAGGCCTGAAGCTGGCAGGAGGTTGCGGAGGGGGTAGGAGTGTTACGTGGAGTGCCCTGGGGGGCGGGGGTTGCAGGCCACCACCACCGCTGGGCCCCTGCTGCTGGCTCCGGGGGCCAGGCCAGGCTGGTTGAGGGGAAGAGGGGATAGCCACTTTGAGTTTCCTCTCCTCTGCATCCAGCCCCAGAGCATTAAATAAACTGAAAGCAACTCTTGCCAGCATGAACTGTCTGGGGAAGCCCATCCTGCCGACCCCGGACTGGGCAGAGCGGAAGGAGCGGCTATGGAGGACAGGATGGGGCATTCAGCGTTTGATACCATCCTAGGCCCCTTCCCAAAACCTCAGGGTGGGGGCAGGCAGCTTTGCACAGGAAACACAACTCCTGCCTCCTCTGAACTCCCAGGCAGGCAGGCAGGCACGAAGGCAGGCTGGTCACACATGTACATACGTACGTACGTTCGTACAGCACCCCGGCTCCAGGGTTTTCGCTTCCGCCGGCGCCCTAGGCTTTAACTGGCTTAGGCTCAGCTGGGACTCTTCCCACAGGGGCAGGAGCCCTGGTGGCTGAGGCACAGCGGGCCTGGGAAACAGGCAGGATGAGCCTGGCCCCAAAGTTGTCCCCGGCCCAGGCTCCGCCTCGGCAAGCAGGAGGCAGGGCCAGGTGAGAGCTGGCGAGCCCCCGGGCTCACAGGGGCCGGGTCGTGTGGTTGTAGACCAGGTGCTCCGTGTCCTCGGTGGTGGAGACGGTGGAGCTGGCGGGGGTGGGCGGCGGGTGGCGGCGGTGTCTGTGGAAGCCCTTCCTCTGGTTCTTGAAGAAGCAGTAACCCAGGATGGCCACCACCACCACGATGCAGATGGCCAGGAGCACGGCAATGGCCACCTCCACGGAGCCTGGGGGGAGGGGCCGAGGAGGGGCTCTCAGCAAGGGGCGGAGTCAGACGTGCCAGGTGTGGAAGGACATGGGCCCCAGCTCGTGTGCAGCTCAGCAGCTGCATGGGGAGCCCAGGGGGGCACTGGTGGCCTCGGCTCCACGTGGCTCTGCTTGCAGGTAGCTCGGGAAGGCCCGTGAGTCTCACCGCAGCACAGGGCATTACTGTACTGTACTGTACTTCCCTCCCTTGCTGGAGGCAGACACCACCATCTGAAGGGGGCACTCAGAATCCTTCTCAACACAGGGGGGCAGCCACAACCAATCACATGGAGGTGATCCCTAGAGCGGACGCCTATACGTCAACCTCAGTGATGCAACTGATCGGGGACTTACCTACACTGGGAACGGCGCTTTCCCGCCGCAGACCGAACACGTCCTTCTCTGCCAAAGGATGGGGGGAGACAGCACTCAGCACCAAGGGCTCTGAGCCCTGGCTGCTCCCCGGCCGCTCCCCGCCACCCTCTCCCACCCACACTCCAGGATGGAAGCCCTGGGACTGAGCCACTCCCCTCCCCAGCTTGGCCCCTGCCCCACTCACTGGAGATGCCTCGACAGGACTCCAGGCACTGCTGCTCGTCCTCAAAGTTGTTCTTGTTGCCATAGCAACCACCATAGGTGAAGCGGTCGCAGCGTTCGGTGAAGGGGTTGTAGTACCAGCGGGGGATGCTCTCATGGCACAGGCCGGTGTCTGGCTGGTCTACACAGTGCCCTGGCAGAGGAGGGAGCAGGCAGGGGGCCTGTGACCCTGGAGGGGCCCCTGCTATCACCCACCCCTGCTGAGGCGGCCTCAGAGACCCCCGCAGCATTCGGCCCATCTGAGCGTCACCACAGTGAGGAAGACAAATCCTGGGTGAGGCGCTCGGCCACACACTCACTTCCTTCTTGGGCTGCTTCCAGCTTTCCTGACTGCGCAAGGTCTCCATTCCTACGGAGCACTTGGGTGGTTCATAGCTTCACATTTTGACAAAAATTTTATTTATTTGAAAGGCTGGAGAGACAGACAGACCTTCCGTTTGCTGGTTCACCCCTCAAATGCCTGTGAGAGCCCAAAGGCTGGAACAACGGATTCAACCTAGTCTCTCACAAGGACCCAAGTACTTGAGCCATCGAGGGTGCACATTAGCAGGAGGCTGGAATCAGAAGCAGAGCTGGGTCTTGAATCCAAGTACTCCGATACAGGTGTCCCAAGCAGCACTTTAACTGCCGTGACAAACGCCAGGCCCTGGCTGGTATTTTTTAAAAAATATTTCTTGATTTACTTTCATTTTATTTGAAAAGCAGAGAGACCTCTTCTATCCATGGTTCACTCCCCATGTGCCTACAACAGGGCTGGGCCTGGCTGAGGCCAGAGGCCTGGAGCTCAATCTGGGTCTCCCATGTGGGTGGCGAGGACCCAAGTACTTGAACATCACCTGCTGCCTCCCAGTGGGAAGACGGCTCAGAAACAGGAGCTCCAACATGGATGCGGGCATCTTCAGTGGTGCCAGACAACTACCCTGGTGCACAGTTTTAACAGAGAAGTGGCCTCAGGGTCTGAGCCTTGGCAGGCAACAACCCAGGCAAAATTATCTTTATTGTTTTCTTATGCTTACTTTTGTTGTTATTTTCAATTTGTGGGAAGTAAAAGCAAGACTGTAATTAATTCATTTTCCTTTCCTTTTTACACTCTGATGAACAAAAGCTAACTGCTTTTAGAGTATATTCTCAATACAACAGGTAAATAATGGTTGCTTACAAATAGCAGGAACTAGGGGGCAGCCTTGTGGCATATCAGGTAAAGCTGCCTGCAATGCCAGCATTCCATATGAGTGCCGGTTCGAGTCCCGGCTGCTCCATTTCTGATTCAGCTCCCTGCCAATGGACCTGGGAAAGCAGCAGAGGATGGCCCAAGTGGCCCCTGTACCCACATGGGAGACCTGGAAGAAGCTCCTGGCTTCCATCTGGCCCAGCCCTGGCCATTGTAGCCACCTGGGCAGTGAACCAGCAGATAGAAGATCCTCTTTCTGTCTCTCCCTCTCTTTGTAACTTTGACTTTCAAATAATTAAACCTTAAAAAAAAAAAAAAAAGCACAAGGCTGCGGAAGTTGCACAGTGACCTCACCCACCCCGGACAGCATGACCAGAGGACTGGGCTGATGACTGCGGGAGGAGGGTCACTGTCGTGTCTCTGAGTGGCCCTTTCTCACCTGGCTGGAGGCCCGCAACAGCTGGCCCTGTCCTTTGTCCCCTTTGCTCTTGACTCCCCGCTAGCCTCCCCTTTCTCCTGTTAAGGTCCTCCTGCTTCCCTGGAAATCGGGGAAGGGCATGATTGGGACCTAAGAGATGGCATTCCCCACGAGACTCCGCCCTCTTCCATAACCCATGCCCTTGCGTCGGTGAATTGACTGTCCAGCACCCAGCAGTCTGGGCCTAATTTGAACTTGCGTCACTAGTGGTATTCCATTTATTGAATGATACATGAAATTTCCTTGTTAACATATTAAGTTAAAAAAGTAATTGGCTGTGGCTGGCATTGTGGTATATATTGCAGGTAAAGCCACTGCCTGCAATACCAGTATCCCAAATGGGCACTGGTTCAAATCCTAGCTGTTCCACTTCTAATCCACCTCCCTGCTAATGCAACCTGGGAAGGCAGCAGAGGATGGCCCAAGTCCTTGGGCCCCTGTACCCATGTGGGAGACCCAGAAGAAGCTCTGGGCTTCTGGCTTCGGTTTGGCTCAGCCCCGGCCGTTGCAGCCACTTGGAGAGTGAACCAGCAGATGGAAGATCTCTGAATGTCACCCTCTCTTTGTAACTATGACTTTCAAATAAATACATAAATCTTTAAAAAGGAAAAAGAGGCCAGTGCTGTGGCATAGTGGAGCCACCATCTGCTTCACTTTGGATCCAGCTCTCTGCTGTGGCCTGGGAAAGCAGTGGAGGATGGCTCAAGTGCTTGGGCCCCTGCACCTGCATGGGAGACTTGGAAGAAGCTTCTGGCTCCCGGCTTCAGATCAGCACAGCTCCGGTCATTGTGGCCATTTGGGGAGTGAACCAGCAGATGGAAACTCTCTGTCTCTGCCTCTCTCAAATAAATAAATAAATAAATCTTAAGAAAAAAAAAATTCTCTCCTTTGAAAAGAACGAACATTTCTTCTTTAAAAAAAAAAAAAAAAAACCACACACACACACACAACTAACTGGCCAAGCAAATCACATCTTAGTGACAGGTGGCAGCTGTGGCTAATGTTACAAAAGTGTGACCCTGTGGAAGCTGAGCCACAGAAGGGGTGAACTGGGGAATCAGCGGCTCCAGGGCTTTTTATGCCCATAGCCTGGCACAGGCAGCAGGCCCTGGGGAGGGCGTTGCTGGAAGGAGAAGTGAGGACAGCAGGCGACTCGGGGGGCTCTCACCTTTGTTGCTGGTGAAATGGATTCTCTGGAGCTCGTCAAAGCCGCTGGTGTCTGCAGAGAGGAAAGATCACAGTCACACGCTCAGGGCCAACAAAGCGCTTCCAGGGCCCTCTCCCCCTGCCCCACACCTGCTCCACGCCCACCCCCCCCAACCCCCAGGCCTCACATTTTTCACAGGTGGCCTCATCAGAGGCATCTGGGCAGTCGGGGGTGTCGTCACACTCCAGGAAGCTATCGATGCAGCAGCCGTCACTGCAGCGGAACTGGGTGGGGTGACAGGTGCCAGAGCAGACTGGGTGGGGGCGAGGTCAGGGTCAGCACAGAGCAAGTGCAGGGGTCCATCATCTACTGGCCCTTTCCGCCCTGACACACCCTCTATCCTCTTTCCACCAACCTTGGTGCCTCCTACAGGGAAAGGGGGTCAATCCTGGTAGGGGGATGCTGGGTTGGAAGGGACACTGTGCTTATGGTCCTTTCACATACTAGGACGGGTGGAATGGGGGGCAAAAGCAGGTTGGCTGGGGTGTGGCCAGGATATGGGCTGGGGACCTGGAGGGGTGAGGGCGAAAGGGAAAGGAGCAAAGCCCACCTGGATGGTGCCTTTCCATCAGGGGTCCTGGGAGAGAGAACAGAGAAGTCAGAGGAAGCACGGCCAGGCTCCAGCAGGGACCCCTGCCCTCTCTGCCCTCCCTGCGGGAAAGTCCCGAGGGCCCACCTTGCACGCCCCGGCAGGCTAGCATGCACTCTTTCTCTCGCAGGTAGTTGTTCTTGTTGCCCAGGCAACCTCCGTAAATGAACCTCTTGCAGATCTGTTCTGTGGGGTCGTAGTACCAGCGGGGGAAGGCGCCCCGGCAGCGGCCCACCTTGTTGGATGCGAGGCAGTAGTCTGGGGGGAGGAGAGCTTGTGAGGGGCACCTGCTGGGGCGGTCAGTCGAGGGAGGAGCCCCAGGCACTGCCTCCTCAGCCCCCCCTCACCTTCAGTCTGCTTGGCGGACAGCACAGTGACTGTGACGTTGGCCGTGTTCTCTGGCTGGTCTGAGCCAGCCGGCGTTAGCTGGAACAGGTACGAGCCTTCCTTGAGTCCCCACAGCTCCACCTGGTCCAGGCTGTTTCTCTACACACAGGAGTGGCCATCAGGCTTGGGCTCCTCCAGGCCCTCCCAGCAGCTCACCCACACCCTGGGAAGAGTACTGGGACTTGGTATGAAATTATGTCCTCAGCTGTTGTCCACCTCCCTCCATCCAGAGCCACTGGCTGGCTGAAGCCCCAGAGCAGGGACCCCTGGGATGCTGGGTAGGGGTGTCAGGAAGCCAGCCCAGTGTCTCACCTCGACCCTGACATCCGTGCCTCCCTGCAGCAGGTGCCAATCTATACCGTCCACATCTTTAAGCACCACAGGCTCCTGGGGCTGTACCTTCAGGTCTGTGCTGGGCCAGGCCTTGGGGATCCAGGCCCCTGGAGGGAGGAAGGAGAGGGACAGTCAGCTCCCACTGAACAGCCCAGGTTTCCCCTGGAGCGGAGGGGATTAGGGGTAGTATGAGCCTCTCCTTGGCTGACCTAGGACTCTGCGTGGAGCTCGCAACAAACCCAACTTCTCGCTCTCCATGCACAGACGTACTGAAGACACTTGTACACTACCAAGTCTGCTTTCTGAAATACACTACTGAACGGCACGTGCCATCTGATCTCATTCAGGGAGAAAGATCTATACGTACACACATACGCTTGGGTGAGGGAGCTTGATCCTATTTTCTATAGTAAGCTGGTAATTGTACTAATTGTTTTTTAAAAAGTAACAATTTTTTTAAATTAAAAATATTTTTAAAGATTTATTTATTTATTTGAAAGGCAGAGTTGCAAGAGGCAGGGGCAAAGAGAGAGACAGAGGTCTTCCATCCACTGGTTCACTTCCCAAATGGCTGCAACAGCCGGAGCTGGGCTGATCCAAAGCCAGGACTCAGGAGCTTTTTCCAGGTTTCCCACGTGGCTGCAGCGGCCCAAGCACTTGGGCCATCTTCCACTGTTCTCACAAGCCACCAGCAGGAAGCTGGATCGGAAGTGGAGCAGCCGGGATTCAAACCTGTGCCCATATCAGATGCTGGTGCCTCAGGTAGCACCTACATTTTAAAAAATGTATTTGAGAGGAAGAGAGGGAGGGGAGAGGTAGCAGGACAGACAGAGCTCTATCTACTGGTGCATTCCCCAAATGCCTACAGTGGTCCTTAATGTGTGTATGTGTGGGGAGGTGAGGCCCCGAGTTGGGGGCAGCCGGTGTCAGGGGCAGAAGCTGGGGGCTGAGAACTTAATCCAGGCCTCCCATGTGGGTGGCAGGGACCCAGATATTTAAACCATCACCTGCTGGCCAGCAGGAAGCTGGCATGAGAAATGGAGCCAGCTCTTGAACCCAGGCACTCTGATATCTGATGTGGGCCTCCCAAATGGCAGCTTTACCATGAGGTAAAACACATGCCTCTGAAAGAACCATAATTTTTTAAAAATTCCTTTGACAGGTAGAGTTACAGACAGTGAGAGAGAGACAGAGAGAAAAGTCTTCCTTCCGTTGGTTCACTCCCCAAATGGCCACCATGGCCGGCGCTGTGCTGATCCGAAGCCAGGAGCCAGGTGCTTCCCCCTGGTCTCCCATGAGGGGCAGGGGCCCAAGCACTTGGGCCATCCTCCACTGCCTTCCTGGGCCACAGCAGAGAGCTAGCCTGGAAGAGGAGCAACCAGGACTAGAACCCGGCTCCCATATGGGATGCTGGCGCCGCAGGTGGAGGATTAACCTAGTGAGCCACAGCGCAGGTCCCAGAACCATAATTTTTTAAAAAATTATTTATTCATTTATTGAAAGGCAGAGGAGAGAGAACCTTCCATCCGCAGGTTCACTCTCCAAATGCCTGCAACAGCTGGGGCTGGGCCAGGCCAAAGCTCGAAGCCAGGAACTCCATCCTGGTCTCCCACATGGGTGGCAGGGACCCAAGTACTTATGCCATCATCCACTGCTTTCCAAGTGCCTAACAGGAAACTGGATTGGCAGCAGAAGTGCAACTTGATCCCAGGTACTGTGACAGGGGATGTGGGTGTTCCTAGCGGCACCCTAAACTGCTGTGTCCCAATACCTGACCCCCGTAACTCTCTTTATTGTGGCCAGCCTTGGTGACATGGGAGTGGGCATGGAAAGGGGGTGCCTCTGCCGGCTCAGACACTGCCGCCAGCTACGGGGTTCTCAGGAGAACCACGCTCTCCCCTGATCTGTCACAGCCTGTTCCTATGGCTTCCTGAACTCAGACTGGGGGGCTGAGGAAACCAGCACAAAGCTTGACTCTTGCCTGTAGTGGGTAGAATGGTGGCCCCAAAGGATGTGTCCACATCCAAACCCCAGAACCCACCAATGTGAACTCATTTGGAAAAAGAGTCTTTGCAGAAGTAATTAAGCAAAGGATTTCCAGATAGGATCACCCTGGATTACATGGGTAGGCCCTAAATTCAACGACAAGTGTCTTATAAGAAACAGAAGTGAGCCGCCGCCTGCAGTGCTGGGATCCCATATGGGCACAGGTTCAAGTCTCGGCTGCTCCACTTCTGATTCAGCTCTCTGCTGTGGCCTGGCAAAGTGTAGGATGGTCCAACTCCTTGGACCCCTGCACCTGCATGAAGACCTAGAGGAGGCTCTTGGCTCCTGGCTTCAGATCAGCACAGCTCCAGCCACTGAGGCCAACTGGGGAGTGAACCAGCGGATGGAGGACCTTTCTCTCTCTCTGCCTCTCCTTCTCTTTCTGTGTAACTCTGACTTTCAAATAAATAAGTAAGTCTTTAAAAAAAAAAAAAAAAGAAGAAAAGAAACGGAAGTAGGGGTGGAGTAGGGGGGTGGCATTGTGGTGCAGCAGGTTAAGTAGTAGCTTGTGGTGCTGGCATCCCATGTGGACACTGGATTGAGACCCGCTACTCCACTTCCAATCCCACTCCTTGCTAATAGCCCTGGGAAAGCAGCAGAACACTGTTCAAGTGCTTGGGCCTGTACACCCTAATGGACAGAGTTCCAGGTTCCTGGCTTCTGCATGGACCAGCCCCAGCTGTTGTGGTCATTTGCGGAGTTAACCAGCAGATGGAAGATCTCTCTCTCTCTCTTTCTCTCTGTGTAACTCTGCCTTTCAAATAAAAATTAAAAACAAACAATATCAAATCTTTTAATAAAAAAGAAACAGAAGAAAAGGCCAAGTAAAGCCAGAGGCAGAGACGCCAAGCCACAAGCCAAAGGACACCTGGAGTCACCCAAAGTTAGAAGATGGGGGTGCGTGTTGGTGCACAAAGGGTTAAACTACCACCTGGGACATCCACAGCCCATATCAGAGCATCCTTGTGAGCCTGGCACTTCCCTCTGATCCAGCTTCCTGCTAACACACCCTGGGAGGCAGCAGATGATGGCTCAAGCACTTGGTCCCCCTCTACCCACATGGGAGACCTGGGTGGAGCTACTGGTTCCTGGCTTCAGCTTCACCCAGCCTCGCTGTTGTAGGCATTTGGCGAGTGAAACAGGGGATGGAAGGTTCTCTCTGTCACTCTGCTTCCCAGGTAGCTGAAAATAAACAAACAGTAAAAAAAGAAGCTGGAAAGGGCAAGAAAGGATTCGGACACCCTGATGTTGGACTTCGGTCTTTAGAGCTGAGAGAAGAGATGCCCATTTGTGAAGCCGCCTGGTCTGTAGTGATTAGAACAGTCATAGGGAATTTTTTTTTTTAAGATTTATTTATTTACTTGAAGTCAGAGTTACACAGAGGGAGAAGGAGAGGGAGAGGGAGGTAGAGGGAGGTAGAGGGAGGGAGAGGGAGAGAGAGGGAGAGGGAGAGAGAGAGAGAGAGGGGGAGAGAGAGAGAGAGAGGGAGAGAGAGAGAGAGGTCTTCCATCCGCTGATTCACTCCCCAGATGGCTGCCATGGCCGGAGCTCCGCCATTCCAAAGCCAGGAGCCAGGAGCTTCTTCTGGGCCTCCCACACGGGTGCAGGGGTCCAAGGACTTGGACCATCTTCTACTGCTTTCCCAGGCCATAGCAGAGAGCTGGATGGGAAGTGGAGCAGCCAAGACTTGACCAGCGCCCATATGGGATGTCGGCACTGCAAGCGACAGCCTAACCCACTATGCCACAGCGCCAGCCTCAGTCATAGGGAATTAAGACACTGCCTTGAGGGGATTATCGTCCGACTCAGCAGAAAAGACCCAAGAGCATGGAGCAACACGGGGGGGGAGCTCCAACCCACCCACCTGAAGCAGTGTGTGTGCAAGACAAGGTCATTCAGAGAAGGGAGAGGCAGAGGGCGAGGTGAGGAGGGGAGGAGGACCTTTTGGTTTCTCATTACTGTGGTTTGGCTGTGGGGAAGAATGTGGGCTGTTTACCGAGGATGGCAGAAAACAGGAGAAACCAAAGCAAGGTCAGGGGCTCGCTGGCTTGGGACAGAGCTCAAGGCACCGGGGAAGGAACGCATTTCTGTCAGCTGCCCAGCATGGGTGGAACGGGAGGACATGAGGCTGGGTGCAGTAAGTCAGGCACAGAAAACCACCCATGTTCTCACTTACATGTATGTGGACACTATGAAGCTGATCGCATAGACACAGGAGTGGAACAGAGCCTGGGAGGGTGTGTGGGGAAGGGATGGGGAGGGGATGGCAAGTGGGCACAGGGGTGCAGGTGCAGAGAAGGTTCTAGGCTGCAGGACAATGCTAGTTGACAGCAAGCAATCATGTTTTTCCAAACAGCTTTGTTTTTCCAAACAGGGCTTCGTTCCCTGTGCCCTGATCTGATCGTTACAACTGAATGTGTATACTGACACGTCACACTGGGCCCAGAGATTCGTAGACGATCGCCTGTCAATCAAAAATTCAAAAAGTGGGGCGTGGCGTTGTGGCACAGCTCTTCTCCTTCACGCACACCGCTGGGACTGGGGCTGGGGCACAGGGGGTTGGGCCGCATCCCTGAGCGAGTCCCTCATCAGAGTGCCTGAGCTCGCTTCCCCTCTGCTTCCAATGCAGCTTCCGGCTACAGCGCACCTGGGAGACAGCAGAGGACGGCCCAAGTGCTTGGGCCCCTGCTGCCCATGCAGGACACCTGAATGGAGTTCCAGGCTCCTGGCTTTGGCCTGGCCCCGTCCCTGCAACTGCGGATATCTGGGGAGTGAACCAGGTGACGGAAGCTCTCTCTCTGTCCCTCCTTCTCTGTCACTTTGCCTTTTTAAATGAAATGAGTAAAACTTCAAGAAGTATGTACTGGAAATCATTCCCTAGCAACACATGCGTCTTGTGGGCCATGTTGTGGGGTAGCAGGTAAAGCCACTGCCTGCGATGCCTGCATCCCATAATAGGCCACAGGTTTGAGTGCTGGCTGCTCCACGTCTGATCCAGCTCCCTGCTAATGCACCTGGGAAAGCAGCTGAGGATGGCCCCAGTGCTTGGGCCCCTGCCCCCACGTGGGACACCTGGATGAAGCTCCTGGCTCCTGCCTTTGGCCTGGCCTGATCTGGGCCATTGTGGCCCTTTGTGGAGTGAACCAGCAAATGAGAAGATCTTTGTCTCTGCCTTTAAAATAAATAAATGAATCTTTTAAAAAAAGTTTCCTTGTGTTGTTGGTTACATAATACACATCACAACTGATACAATTTGTGTAACCAGCCCCCACCTGTCTGTCCACCCTCGCCCCCTCCCTTTGAGAACCACCGCTGCCTCAGGGGTTATCACTGTTACTAAAAGTGTCAAAGGCTGTGCTGACAGACAGGGAGGCTGCTTCCAGCCCCTCCTCGGCAACAGCGCTAGGCCGGCAGGTTGTTTCTCACGTGTGTGTTTGCCTGCCCGATGCATTCCTGCAAGCCGCACCGTGCCAGGGTCCCGGGCAGCTCGGGTTTTCACAGACACTGCCAAACTGTCTGCCTCGGAGGTCAGTTCAAGGGTAAGAGTGCAGAGGAAGAAGAGACGGCACAGTGCTAAAACAGCTCGTGGAAGGCTGAGTCACAGGGATTCCTTTCTCATGAGCCACAGAACGCAGAGGCAACCCAGGGACTCACAGGTCACAACGGGGAGAAGACCAGGACACACAGTGACAGCGAGAGGGGCACCAGGGGAGCGGGTTTCACGGAGAAACATGTCAAACCGCAGAGGTCTAGCCGACCAAGGAAAGGGAGCTGCATTCCAAGATTTCTGGGGCAAGAAACCAGGCGGACGAGGAGCACACGGTACATGCCTGGAAGCTACCCCCGACCCAGAGGTGTGGCTGGCGACGTAGGGTGAGGACCTCGAGAGTCCAGCAAGGGGCAGTGGCCGGGAGGAGCCTGTTCCTCCCTTCCTGCATTCTGCAGAAAATGGTCAGCCGTCTGGAACTGGGAAAGAAGACAGGCTGCTTACTCAGCAGTGTACCTAGTGGACAGACAGACAGACAGATAATCCCACCAGGCCCTCAGGGCAGAACTGGCAGTGATAAATCAGACCTTGGGCTCAATCAAGAACTTCCCAGAAGAACCCTCCACAGCTCTCTCTCCAAGCCCCAGGCCCAGGGACCAAGCGGCAGAGGTGCTGCCCTACCACTCCTCAAAGAGAGCAAAGGCTAGAGTGGCAATAAAACAAACCAGGCCCTCCCCCAGCGGCCAGCCCCCAGGACATCTCCAAGGAAACAGACTCCACCTTCTAAGCCACACCCACACAGGAAAGAGGGGGAGGCCAAGCAGTGAGCCTCCAGCTGCAGGAGTCTGGACTGGCCTGGCCTGGCCTGGCTGCTGGCTGGCAGGGATGGGGAGCAGACAAGCCCCCAGCTGAGGAGTTCGCTACCCGAGAGAATTAAAGGTGTAGGGGCAGGCGTTTGGCGCAGTGATGAGGCCTCCACTTGGGACGTCCTCACATTGGAGTTTTGGGTTCCAGTCCCAGCCAATGCACACCCTGGGAGGCTCAAGCTGGGCTCTTCCTACCCACGTCGGGGAACCATATTGAGTTCTGGGCTCAGCCTGGCCCCTGCTGTTAAGGGCATGGAGGGAGGGAACCTGCAGAAGGGAGCATGCTCCCTCTCTGTTTGTCGAATAAATACATCAACAAGTTAAAAAAAAAAAAACACACACACAAAAAAAGAATAAAATGTTTCAAAGCTGTGTGTACCAGCACTCTCCCCCCACCACCCCCCCCCCCCCCGCCACCTCTGTCCACCCTGGCTTCCAGCGTGCACACAACAGCTCTGCCCTGCTCTTAACTACTTCCAACCTCTCTGGCTGGGACTCCCTGGACTCGCTGCACACAGCTTCCTCCAGGTCCCCAAACTCTGCAGTGCCCAGAAGGGCTGGAATGGCCTAGAGCTCCCCCTCAGCCCACTTGGCTCCTTCAAGCCCCAGAAAGCCCCATTCTGCCCTCTTGTGCCAGGCAGGCCAGGCCTGGGGGTTTCTGGATGAAGAAGTCCCCAGTGTGGTCGGCTCCCGGAGCAGACTACAGATTTCTGGCCTGCAGTGGGCCTCCCATGGGGCCTCTGTGGGAGCAGGAAGAGCAGCGGCAGCTCAAGCCAGTCAGCATCAACACTCCTACACTCTCTGCTGCTTCCTTGTGGAACAGGCTCTAGTCCTGCTCCAACGGGACTCCCTGGCCCAGGCCGGCCCACACATGGTGCCCTCCCCTCTCACAGTCCCTGTCCCAGCTCTCCTTGGGGACCCAGGAGAGCTACTGGAAGGATGGGGAGATGAGCGGCCCAGCCCATGAGGGATTCTAGCCCAGGAAGAGGCTGGAGAGGAAAATCCCTCCTCCACTTTGCAAACTGAGGCCACCTACAGCTGGAGCCCCAGTCCCGGCCCCTGGCTCCCCCACCTCTGATTCTGTCATCTACTGGGCCGTCTACCAAGGATGGGAGCTGTTATCCTGGACCAGTTACCTAACACAAGAGTGTCAGTTTCCCAGCCTAAAAAGTGGGAGACTACCCACTGCACCCGTTTCCGAGGTTGTTGACCTGAGGCCCAGGAGAGCGTGTGTGGCACAGCCACCGGTAAACTGTAAAGCACTAACAGGTTATCAGCTATGACCTGGAGCCCCACCTGACCAGAACAGCAGGGAGAGAGGTTGGGGAGGCCAGCTGCCTGCTCAGTCCTAGGAGGAAAGAGGAGGAGCCCTGACCCCCCCCCCCACTTTGCCCTTTTCCCAGGAAGTAAACAAGGTGAGCAGACAGCTTGGCTACCAGGCCCTCAGCAGGAACAGCCCTGCCCGGCTCACCTGTGCTGCACACACACCTGCCTGGACAGCTGACATCCCTCCCCTAGCAGGTACACATGCCAGCGGGCTGACTCACCCAGCAACCCTCACTCCCAGCCCCAGAGCCCCTAGGCTACTGTGCCCACAACCTTCCCCCTCTGTTTGGGTCAGCCCCAGACTGGGTGTGTTCTTTACTCTCTGGGGTCTGGCATTTTTTCCTGGACCACCAAAAGGCCAGCGCATTCCCAGTGCAGAGGGATGCTGACAGTTCCCATGTCCAGCCAGCAGAGGGGACTAGGGCAGGATCACCCGACAGGTGCACAGGTTACACAGGCCAGTGCTCAGTAGCGTGCCTTCCGGATGCTGTATCCAGACTCCTCCATCCGGGCTAAACCTATCTGGGTCAGAGGCCAGGATCCCAAGGGGCTGCCCCCTCTCTCCCAGACACGCTGAGCATAAGGTTCTCCTGTAAGCCCCAGCCCCTCACCTCTGGATCTGGGCTCTAGTATGGTCCCCTTCCTTTGTCTACTCTCCATACTAGCTGCGGCTAAGAAGTTGAAGTAGAAATGGACTCTGCTCCTTAACTCCTTCCCGATGCTCACCCGCCCCGGACTCCATAACCCGGCCCTCGGTTTCTCCAAATCAGCCGCCCCGGGGCCTCTTCCTTACCGCCAAAGCCCTGGGAGCGCAGGTCGCGGAAGGAGCTGTACACTTCCCGCGAGAGGTAGTTGATGAAGCCCTCCCTGGGCGCGAACTTGCACACGAAGTTCTGCTCGTAGAGGCAGTCCATAAGGAAGCAGGCGGCGACTGCATCCTCCCCGCCGCCGGGCGGCAGCTCCACCAGCGCCAAATTGCAGTTTTGGGTTTCGCAGCAGGCGAGCACGCAATCCCAGCTGTGGTGCACCGTGCGGGAGCCCCAGGAGGTGGCCCCGTTGCTGACCGAGGCGTTGATGTCCAGTACGAAGTCAGGCACCCTGGCGGTAAAGCGGTCCTTGCAGATGGCTCCCTCGGGCGGCCCGGCCTCAGTGCCTTGGAGGCCGAGCGCGCACAGGAGCCACACGGCGACTGGGGAGATGAGAGCCAGGAAGCGGCGGGCGCTGACCATCGTTCTCCTGGGGGCCGTCGCCCCGCTCCCCACGGGGGTCACCTTCACCGTGCGGGCGTCTGGGTTCCGAGAGTACCTGTGACCTGGAAGAGGGAGGGACGGAGGAGGAGACGCACCTGATCAGCCCCGAGACTTCGAGGGAGGAAGGCCGGAGGAAGTGGGTCGGGGAACACGGAGCAACCCCGGGAGGAGGACGCGCAGAGCAGGCCCGCCCCTCCCACGCACCCTCCCGAGGCCCGGCGGCCCACTGGCCAGCAGGGGAGCGGCTCCGGAGCGCACGTACCCGGACACACGTACAAGCGCGGAACAAAGGCGCCACCATGCTCCGAGTCCGCCCCGCCTCCGCCTGGCGCTCCGGGGCCCCGGTTACCTGCGCAGGTGAGTAGGGTGGGGCCGGGCCCGCCGAGGTTCCGGTCCCGGCTTCCTGCGCGGCTCCCGCCGCCGCTTCCGCCCCGGTGCCGGGTGTGCTGGCTACCGAACGCCTCCTCTCCCCAGTTTCTGGTGAAACTGAGTCAGTGCGGCCTGGGCGGGGCGGACATTAACCCGAGCGCCATCGGCCCCGCCCACGCCCGGTGAGCCCCGGCCGGCCCTTCCCGGCCGAGCTTCCGCCTCGGTCCGCCCCGCAGCGCGGCGGTCCCCAATCCCTCCCTGGAGCCTGGCCTGCGGAGGGGCCCGGTGGTGTCCCGCCCGGGGACGCGTCGGGTCGAGGTCGCTCCGCGCGGGATTCCCCGGGGCCAGCCCCAGAAATGCATCCTGAAGGCCGGGACGCTGCAGCCACGTCGGACACGGAGGGGCCCGCGCCTGGGGCGGCTGCCTCCGGAGCATCCCCGCCCACAGCCCCAGCCCCGGGCCTGAGGCGCTTTTGAAGGACCTGGGGGGTGCAGGAAGCAGGGGCAGCGCTCCAGGTAGCCCGCTCTCGGAAAATGATTTGTGTTCAGTGGCGGACAGAAGCTGTGAGGCTGCCCCTGCACCAGCCGGGGTCTGGGATGCGTGCTGCAGTGTCTCTGCCCTTGCCACCTGCGGGGTGGGGGTGGGGGGGCTTCTTCCTGCCAGGCAGAGAAGGGAGGTCGCTGCCCAAGTCCAGGCTTCGCGTCTTGATCCTCAGCGGGCCCCTCCTCTTGTAGCAGTTTCCCTGTCTCCATAACCGCTGCCCACTTCCTGGGGCTCAGTTCCCCTTGGCCCCCCACAAAGGGAGTGATCCTGGTGCACTCTCTTCCGGTGAAATGCCATCTTTGGACCGTGGACACTTGGCTGGGTCAGTGCCCTTCCCAAAGCCGCTGACCCCTTAAGGCGAACCTCATTGCTCTTCCCAAGTGAAGAACCCATTTTGTGTTAACTTGCTTGCTTGTTTAAAGATTTATTTGAAAGGCAGAGTGAGAGAGAGAGAGATCTTCCATTGCTGGTTTACTCCCTAAATGGCAGCAGCAGCCTGAGCTGGGCCAGGACTAAGCTAGGAGCCAAGAGCTTCATCCTTGCCTCTCATGTGGGTGGCAGGGGCCCGGTCTTTGGGCCATATTCTGCTTTCCTAGGCAAATTAGCAGGGAGTTGGATTGGAAGTAGAGGAGCCAGGACTCGAACCTGTGTTCATATGGAATGCCAGCATTGCAGGCAGTAGTTTAACCCTGCTGCATAAAGAACTCTCTCTCTCTCTCTCTCTCTCTCTCTCTCTCTTTCTTTCTCTCTCTCTCTCTCTTCCTCTCTCTTCCTCTCTTCCTCCCTCCCTCCCTTCCTCTCTCTCTCTCTCTTTCTTTCTTTCAATATTTTATTTATTTATTTGAGAGGCAGGGAGTGGGAGAGACAAAGGTCTTCCACCTGCTGGTTCACTCCCCAAATGGCGGATATCAGAGCTGGGCCGATCTGAAGCCAGGAGCCAAGAGCTTCTTTTGGGTCTCCCATGCGGGTGCAGAGGCCCAAGCACTTGGGTCATCTGCTGCTGCTTTCCCAGGCCATAGCAGAGAGCTGGATAGAAAGAGGAGCAGCTGGGACACAAACTGGTGCCCATATGGGATGCCAGCTTTGCAGGTAGAGGCTTAGCCCACTATGCCACAGTGCTGGCCCCACATGAAGAACTCTTTTTTTTTTTTGGACAGGCAGAGTGGACAGTGAGAGAGAGACAGAGAGAAAGGTCTTCCTTGTCCATTGGTTCACCCCCCCAATGGCCGCTGCGACTGGCGCACTGTGGCCAGTGCACCGCGCTGATCCGAAGCCAGGAGCCAGGTACTTATCCTGGTCTCCCATGGGGTGCAGGGCCCAAGCACTTGGGCCATCCTCCACTGCACTCCCGGGCCACAGCAGAGAGCTGTCCTGGAAGAGGGGCAACCGGGACAGAATCCGGTGCCCTGACCGGGACTAGAACCCAGTGTGCCGGTGCCGCAGGCAAAGGATTAGCTTATTGAGCCACAGCACCGGCCTGAAGAACTCTTAAAAGAGCAATGGTTGGTCCTCTTAATGCTCTCCCAAAAAAGAAGATTGCGGACCTTTTCATGACGTCCTGCCCTCCCCCCCCCCCCCCAGCCCTGTGAGGACATTCTTCTCAGTTTGTCTCCTGGAGCAGCTGTTCTTCCATCTTGCTGCCAAGGATCATTTTCCTTGCTGAACTGCAGCATCCCGCAGCCGCCCTCACCAATGGAACCTGGAGTCTGTCTCCCATTCTCTGGGGTGTCTGGGGTGTCCCACAGGCTCTGCATGGTGAGAATGAAGAAACCACCCTGAGGTTACTGGGAAGAAAGGAAGTTGTGAGTTAGTTCCTGCCTTCCCCAGCAGCTTATACACACCAGCTCCCCAACAGGGGAATATTACATCACCATGGAGTTATCATTACATCATTGTGCACACCCTTCCAAGCAGCTACATGTATCAAGCACTGACAATGCCCAAGCCCTGCCCATCTATCACCCTATATACTCAAAACTGACCAAGGGAGTAGGCACCATTTTTGTCCCCATGTTACACATAAACAAACACACTCAGGCAGGTGAACTTGGCAGGACATACAGCAGGTCAGAGGGAGAGTGGGGAGTGGAGCCTGCACTAGGCAACTCCATTGCTTTGGTCCCTAAACACTGGGTTTTATGGCATCTACGACTCTGACTTCATCTGGAAGGTCTGCCCTCGATTCAACTTGCCTGGACCAAAAGCTCATTATGGGGGTGCGCATTGTGGTGCACCTGCATCCCATCCTCGAGTGCCTACTTTGAGTCCTGACAACTTCCTGCGTCCTGCTACTGCTCCTGGAACACAAGAGGTAATGGTCCAAGTGCTTGAGTTCCTGCCACCCATGTGGGAGACTCAGGTGGAGTTCCTGGCTCCTGGCTTTGGGCTGGATCAGCTACAGCTGTTGTGGGCATTTTGGGAGTGAACCAGCAGATGAAAAATCTGTCACTTTGCCTTTCAAACAAATTAATTAAATCAATCTTTTAAAAAATGTACTGTGAGTCCCCTCGGAAACTCATATTGGAATCTGATTGCCATCGTGGTGGCGGGATGTGGCGCCTTTAGGGGGTGATGAGGTCGCTAAGAGGGATCAATGCTTTGTGGGGGAGGACTGAGAGCAGGTGGCGCAGAGCCCGCGGGGTCCTCATGTTGTGCTGTTCCACGTGTGCCCGCTCACCCTTGTGCTCTCCACCCGTGTTAGGGACAATGTGTAATGCCCCTGCCAGATGCAGCCACCTGATCGTGAACTTGCAGCCTCCAGAACCAAAAGCTGAATAAACTTTCCTTCGTAGGCTACCCCGTCTATTCCAGCAACAGAACGCAGAGGAAGTGTCTCCTAGACAGGATTGCTAATGCTCTGGCAGCCCCCAGGCTGGATCCCTCCTTGTGGAGAGGTTTGCGATCTCTGTAAAGATCTTACAGGTCAGGCTGAGAGACAGGGTTGGGTAGGGGTTGACCTTGTGGGCTTCAGACTCAGTCTACTAGCTTTAGCTTTCAGCTGCCCCTTAGCATTGGTGTGGGCTTAGGCAAGGTTGTTTTAAGATTTATTTATTTGGGGCCAGCACAGTGGCTCACTTGGCTAATCCTCCACCTGTGGCACCGGCACCCCGGTTTCTAGTCCTGGTTGGGGCGCCAGATTCTGTCCTAGTTGCTCCTCTTCCTGTCCAGTTCTCTGCTGTGGCCCAGGAGTGCAGTGGAGGATGGCCCAGGTCCTTGGGCCCTGCACCCTTGTGGGAGACCAGGAAAAGCACCTGGCTCCTGGCTTCGGATCGGCGCAGCGCGCCAGCCGTAGCAGCCATTTGGGGGGTGAACCAGTGGAAGGAAGACCTTTCTCTCTGTCTCTCTCTCTTTCTCTCTCTCACTGTCTAACTCTGCCTGTCAAAAAAATAAATAAATAAATAAAAATAAAAAGATTTATTTATTTGAAAGGCAGAGTTACAGAGTGGGAGAGATCTGCTAGGTAACTCCCCAGATGGCTACAGTGGCAGGGGATGGGACAGTCTGAAGCCAGGAGCTAGGAGCTTCTTCCAAATCTCCCAGGAGGGTGGCAGGGGCCCAAGGACTTGGGCCATTTCTGCTGTTTTCCCAGTCCATAGCAGGGAACTGGATGGGAAGTGGAGCAGCCGGGACTGGCACCAGCGCCCATATGGGATGCCGGCACCGCAGGCTATGGCTTTATCCCCTATGCCACAGCACTGGCCTGTAGGTAAATTTTTTAGCCTCCCTGAGTCTTGACCTCCTGGCATCAGTGGTGGGGCTTTTACAGGGCTATTTCAAAACAATTTGTGGAAAATGGAATTAAAAGATGTTTACTCCTTCTCTTTCTGTAATTCTGAGTTCAAAATAAATAAATCTTAAAAAGATAAGTGCTTCAGGGCAAAAAATATTTGAAATCAATGCAGTCTTTTCATGAAGACTCCTTTGCATAGGAAAAAAAATCTAGAAGGAAACTTGCCACAGTGTTAGTAGTGGTGGGCTTTGTGTTGCCACAGTCCGGATAAGGTTAGGGTGTGCGTCGCAGAGTCCGTGTGCTAGGAGCTCAGTCCCTCAGCTTGCTGGTGTGAAGGTGGCAGAGTATGTGGAGCCTTCTGCAAGGTAATCGGGTATGGAGAGCTGGTGTCATACAGTGAATTCCTTCTTCTTTTTTAAATTAATTAATGTATTTGAAAGCAGAGTTACAGAGAGGCAGAGTCAGAGAGAGACACACACACAGAGGTCTTCCATCCACTGGTTCACTCAAATGGCTGCAATGGCTGGAGCAGAGCTGATCTGAAACCAGGAGCCAGGAGCCAGGAGCTCCTTCCAGGTCTCCCACATGGGTGCAGGGGCCCAAGGACTTGGGTCATCTTCTACTGCTTTCCCAGGCCACAGCAGAGAGCTGGATCGGAAGTGGAGCAGCAAGGACTCGAACTGACACCCATATGGGATGCCAGCACTGTAGGCCATGGCTTTACCTGCTATACCACAGCGCCGGCCTCAAATTTGCTTTTTTTTTTTTTTTTTTTTAAGATTTATTTTATTTATTTGAAAGAGTTATACAGAGAGAGAGAGAGAGAGAGAGAGGACTTCCATCCTCTGGTTCACTCCCCAATTGGCTGCAACTGGCCAAGGCTGTGCCCATCAGAAGTCAGGGGCCAGGAGCTTCCTCTGGGTCTTGCACGTGGGTGCAGGGGCCCAACGACTTGGGCCGTCTCCTGCTGTTTTCCTAAGCCACAGTAGATAGCTGGATCGGAAGTGGAGCAACCGGGACTTGAACTGGTGCCCATACGGGATGCCAGCACTGCAGGCGGCAGCTTTACCTGCTAACGCCATAGCGCCAGCCCCAAGAAAAGTTTCCAAAGTAAACATGTTTTTCTTTTCTTGTAAAAATTTTTGGCAAGAGAAAGAAAAGACATTTGCGAGTAGCCTAGTCCTGCTGGGCTCTGCCTGCTGCCTAGAGGAGATTCACCCTGCACCTGTGCCAGCCCGGGAGGCCGGGGAAGACACCCTCCCCTCTACCCAGCTCCGTGCCTCTTTGCTTCCCTGCCCTGCTGTGGCCCTGTGGTCCTGGTGGCCTTCTCCTCGCGTCTTATCTTGGGTCTTGAGTTACCTTATCCCAGGCGCACTTATTGATGAATGGAAATGCGTGCAGAGGCCAGGGAGGGGCCATGTGTCAGTGCTGAGAGGGAAGACTATAAAGAATGGGTGTGACTCATTTCTGTGCCATTGAGTTTGACAGTGTCCATGCCCTGTGCTCATGCAGAGTCTCACCATCCCCCAGCTTACAGACAGCGGGCTCAGAGAAGCTCTGGGCCTGAGCCACTCCGTCCCTTTGTAGGCGTCCATGAATCTGCATGTTTGTGTGTCCCCAGTCCATCACCAAGGTCTGTTAACTATTACCCCTAACTGGTTCCCCAGTCTGTACACTTCTCCCCATCACCTCCTCCCAGCGACACCTTCCCTGTCAAGCCCTGCCGCGGTGGGCTCCTGGCTGCTCCCCAGTCCTTCTGTACCCTCGCACCCTCCTCCCGTACAGCAGTCTGGGTGATCTTTTTGCAATTGTGATTGAACGTGCCAACCTGCCCGACAACCATTGCTTAAGCCCTGATTGCCCAATGCCCTAAGATGGAGACAAAACTTAGCGTTTGCTCACAGGATGTTCCAGAGCCTCCACCTCTTCTCCTGCCTCAAGACTCCCTTCTCCCTCCTCTTCCTCTCTACTCCAGTCCTGTCGACCCTCCCTTAGTCCCTGTACTCACCATCCTCCTGCCACGGGGCCTTTTTTGCATGTGCCTGCCGTCTGTCACACCTTTCCTTCTCACCTCTGTGCCAGTCCTTCAGAACTCAACCCAAATGTTATCACTCTTTGGGTCACTCCCTCACTAGGCATTCTCTCCTTTATAAAAAAAATATTTATTTTATTTACTTGAAAGGCAGAGTAATGAGGAAAAGGGGGGAGACCAAGACAGAAAGATCTTCCATCTGCTGGTTCACTCCCCAAGTGACCACAACAGCCAGGGCTGGGCCAGGCCAAAGTCAGGAGCCTAAAACTCCATCCTTGTCTCCATGTGGGTGGCTTGGACCCACATACATGAGCCATGTTTCGCTGCTCTCCCAGGGAGGTGGAGCAGCCAGGACTTGAACTGGAGCTCATACAGGATGTTGGCGTTGTTGGCATAGGCTTTACCCACTGGGCAACAATGCAAATGTTTCACTAGGCATTCTTTTTTTTTTTTTTTTTTAATTTATTTGAGAGGTAGAGTTATAGACAGTGAGAGAGACAGAGAGAAAGGTCTTCCTTCCGTTGGTTCACCCGCCAAATGGCCACCACAGCCGGTGCGCTGCACCAATCCGAAGCCAGGAGCCAGGTGCTTCTCATGGTCTCCCATGTGGGTGCAGGGCCCAAGCACCTGGGCCATCCTCCACTGCACTCCCAGGCCACAGCAGAGAGCTGGACTGGAAGAGGAGCAACTGGTTCACTAGGCATTCTTACAGCACTTTCTAGGTTTTCTTCAAGTCGCTAGGTGATTGCAGCTTGACGTCTATTTGGTTGATAATGTTTGTGTTCTCGGAGTTCCCTGAAGGCAGGAACCCGTCTTTCTGCTTCTCCAGTCTGCAGCACTGAGGAGCACAATGCTAGGCTTGCTAGAGGAGCTCACGAAATCTTTGTTCAGTGAGAGAGCTGATGACTGACCAAAACCCAGGGACTCTTCTGATCTGCTTCCCTTTCCCAAAAGGGGCCCCAAGCCGCTGGGACCTAGGAAGGAGAAGAGGGAGGATCTGTCATCTGAATCCCTGCGGTCCCCGAGTGTAAATGTGACAGCTGAGTCTACAGCGGGCGCTTTAGGGGGCTTCCTCCTGGGCTCTTCCCCACCTTTCCAAAGAGGGCCAGGAGCGAAGCTCAGGGCCGGCCTCTGCTCCCCAGGCCGCGCCGCGAGGACGGGGAGCTGGGGAGGTAACGAAAGGAAGGGAATGAAGACAGGTGAGAGGGGCCTCTGTTCTGGACACGGCGCCAGGTGTTCCCCAAGTCACCTCGTTGAGTCCTCCCTATATGCCCATTCCACAGATGAGAAAACAGACTCAAACAGAATGTGAGACCTGAGCAGGGTTGGAACACGGATGCAGGGCAGTGCTGAGTTCGAATTCAGATCTGTCAGTCTTCCTCCAAAGTGCTTCCAAGGTGCCCCACTTGCCTCCCAACCCTCAATCACCTCCTCTACCCAGTTAACTCAGGGTCTCAAATTCCATGGTTAGAGACTCATCCTACAGTGAATCTTTTAGTTCTCTTTCAGAGTCAGAGTAGGCTGAAGGACGTTGATGTATTGGAGACAGAAACTCAGCATCACGGGGACGACCACTGCAAGGTGCAGAAAGACGCCCATGAACGCAGGTTGGCGTGTGGAGGTGAAGGCAGTGAGGGACTGGGGATGAGCGAGTGCATCGTCATCTTCCATGTAGAGGAGATAAGAGAAACCTTCTAACTGACACATTCAGAAAGAGATTACGCAGAGGTGACCACGGGAGAACCAGCATCAGAAGCTGGGGGGGAGGGGGAGCGCTGCCTCTGGGGAGAAGAGAGAAACCATCATTTTTAGTTGTTTGACCTTTTGAGCTGTTCACTTTAAAAAAAAAAATCAATGTTTGTCTGTTCTATAACTTCAAAAAAAAAGCTCAGAAACTTTTGTTATAAAGAACTAGGCTGAGGCCGGCGCCGCGGCTCACTAGGCTAATCCTCCACCTAGCGGCGCCGGCACACCGGGTTCTAGTCCCGGTCGGGGCACCGGATTCTGTCCCGGTTGCCCTTCTTCCAGGCCAGCTCTCTGCTGTGGCCCGAGAGTGCAGTGGAGGATGGCCCAAGTCCTTGGGCCCTGCACCCCATGGGGAACCAGGATAAGTACCTGGCTCCTGCTATTGGATCAGCGCAGTGCACCGGCCACAGCGGCCATTGGAGGGTGAACCAACGGCAAAGGAAGACCTTTCTCTCTGTCTCCTCTCTCTCTCACTGTCCACTCGGCCTGTCAAAAAAAAAAAAAAAAAAAAAAAGGAACTAGGCTAACAAAAAACTAAATAAACAAAAACGCGCTCCTTTTCCAATGCAAGTCCATCTACAAGTGCTAGCCCTTGACGCTGGGTGGAGGTCGGGGCTGTAGCTGTGTATGGGAGGGGTCTTCCTCCTCTGTGGCAGGAAGGACTTGAGGCAGCAAAGGGTCATGGGAGAATAAATGTGGCTTCCTACACAGTGGCTCTGGGGAAGGGGTGTGGACCACACCTGACAGATGGGGCCAATGGCAGCTCACCTTTGGCCACACCCAGGTACAAGGGGGTGTGGACTCTGGGAGGACCACAACAGCTATAAGAGTACTTCAGAACGTCTATGGGAAAATGGAACGAAAAGATACATTTTGGTACAAAAAAATGAAATCCATGCAGATTTTTCCATAATGTGCATCTCCACATTTCCATTGAAGACCCCTCACAACCACCCTCCAACTCCATCTACCAGCTGAGACTCTGCCCCTCCAGTGCCATGCTCAGAGCAGGAACCCCTGCCAGTTGGGGCTCCTGCTCCTGTAGGATCTGTCTCTGGCCGCAGCTCCTCGGGGCCCAGAGCAGATCTTGTCTCAGGAAGGTGGCTGCAGAGGGGTCTCAAGCCAGTGACTCAGGCCCCAGTGATCGGCTCTGGTATCAGAGCTGGCCAAAGAAGGTGAACGTCTGCTTCCCTCAGGACCCACGCCCCTGGCTGCTAGACTTGTGCATGTCTGCTGTTTATGTCACTTTGCACAGTAGTAGGTGCAGAAAGAGAGGCTGGGGCACGGCTCTGGAGTGCCGCTTGCTGGCAGGCAGGAGCCAGGAGATTGGTATTGCCAGCCCCAAAGACCTGTTGATCTTTGACCCTGGCGCCTCCCAGGGAGCTGTGGCCCTCCCCGCGCCTGCCTGCCTTCCCCGCGGGCCTCTCCCTCATTCCCCTCGGTGCTCTCGCTCTGACTGGCAGTTTCCCCAGCTCCTTGCCCTGGCCAGTCCTTCCATGCTGTCTTCCAGACCTACTTCCTGCGAGTCTCCCAATCCAGACGGGGAGGACCCAAGTAGGAAGGTCCAGTGGACTTCTGAGAGGAGGAGGAGGACGTCGTCCACAGACTCAGAGTCAAGGTCCCACTCGGACCCCTCCAGGGTGCCCAGGTCCCGGAGGTCCAGCCGGCTGACGGTGAAGTACGACCTAGGGCAGCTGCAGCGCTGGCTGGAGATGGAGCAGTGGGTGGATGCTCAGATTCAGGAGCTCTTCCAGGTGGGTAGAGTGGCGGCGTGTGGGAGCAGACAGGGCTCTGCTCAGACAGAGGCAGATGCCAAGGCAGGGGCTCCCATGTGTCTTTGCTTGCTCTGCATCCTCAGTACATATACATGTCTACAGCTGCACTGTCCAGTGCTGTAGCTGTCGGCCACGTGTAGGTACTGAACTGAGCTAAAATGAAGCAAAGGGGCAGGCATGGTGGCGCAGCAAGTGAGGCCGTCAATTGCGATGCCCCAGTCCCATTATCGGGAGTGCTAGCTCGCATCTCAGCTACTCTGCTTCCCATCTAGTCTTCTGCCAGTGCATCCTGGCACTGCAGCAGGTGATAGTCCCAGGATTGGGGCCCCTGAATGGAGTCCCTGGCTCCTGGCTTCAGCCTGACTCAGCCCAGGCTGTCATGGGCATCTGGGGGAATGAACCAGGCAGTAGAAGAGCTCTCTGTCTCTGTCTGTTCCTCTGCCTTTCATGTCAATGAAAATAAATAAAAATGAAACATTTAAAAATATGAAATGCAAATAAAAACTGCGGCTCCTGAGTCGCACTAGCTACTTTTCAGGTACTAAAAGGCCTCACGGTGCTGGTGGCTCCTGCAGGGTCAGCACAGACACAGTCGTTTCTGTCCTCCCCGAATGGACAGTGCTGGGCAGGAGAGTGAGAGTAACCACGGGGGTGCACTGCTGCCAGGCCCTGGCCCGCCTGACCCTGGCTCCGACGCACTGCCCTCAGCTGCACCCTGGGGAAAAAATGGGTCTCGGCCCTGGTCACTGGAAGTGGCATTTTCTTGCATGGATGTCTCCACACCCGGATCCTAGAGTAGTGACGGTATCACTTCAACAGCAGCAGTAACCTTTTGAGCACTTCAGCTGCACGCAGGGCCTGCCGTTAAGCGCTAGCATGCATTCTTTCATTCAGTCCTCCCCACAACTCCCCTGGGTGGGAGCTCTTTTACAGCTGGGGCAACGGAGCTTAGAGACAATGAGTAACTTGCCCAAGGTCACGTAACCAGGAAGCCACGGAACCCGGAGCTGCAGCTAGAGCTCTGGCTGCATAGCTCTGGCTCTTAATCAAACAGCCAGTGCTTCTCCATACCTGAACCACTTAAAAAATTATTTATGTATTTACTTGAAAGAGTTACAGAGAGAGAGGGAGAGACAGAGTGAGAGATCTTCCATCTGCTGGTTCACTCCCCCAAATGGCCCCAATGGCCAGGGTTAAACTAGACCAAAGCCAGGAGCCAGGAGCTTCATCCTGGTCTCTCATATGGGTGCAGGGGCCCGAGCTCTTGGGTCATCCTCCACTGCTTTCCCAGGTGCATTAGCAGGGAGCTGGATCGGAAGTGGAGCAGCTAGAACACGGACTGGTGCCCATATGGGATGCCGGTATTACACGGGGAGGCTTAACGCGCTACGCCACAATGTCGGCACCCATACCTGAAATACTTAGGGAGAATAATGCATGGCTCCATCTCAACTGGATTTTGCATCTACTAGGGTGGGGCCTGGACACTGGACATTGTTTGATAAGCTTCCCGTTGGTTCTGAGGTGTGGCGATGTGGAGAACCATTCCACCCCGTCAGGGTACCAGGAATCTTCCTCACCTACAATATACGGCCCTTGTTTCTCTTCCCTCTTGACACAGGTCCTGTCTTTTCTTTTGGGGACTGCAAAGGCATGTGATTCTTGTGTGCATAAGGGCTGCCGGCAGTGCTATGCCTAGGCCTGGGGACAAACGATACATGTGGCCCTGTGTGTCTAGAAGCTCTCTGGGCTCTGTGGCTACGTGGTCCAGGTGTTGATCTGAATGTCCCGGCAGCATCCTGAGCCCCCGAGTGAGGTGGGGGAGCAGTCCTCAGAGCTGAGAGCCAGAGGCCCACTCTCTCTCCTGCTGTGTCTGCTCCCTCTGCCCTCCACAGCTTCCAGTGCTGTCCAAGGGCTCAGTTGTGAGTTCCGATAGTTTGTTGTGTGCTTGCTTGGAAAATCTCATATTTCCCACACCCCAGGGCAAATCCTGCCAGGCAGCAGAGAGAGACAGTAGCCAAACAGCCTTGTTTTGCAAGGTGAAGTTGGAGGTGGGGGTAGGGAGAAGCTGCACGGAAATGAACCCGTAACATTAGAGAACAGAACGTGTGGCAGGACCGCTCCCAGGCCATGACCGGAATAAAATGACTGGCCTGTGGTTGCCATGGCAATTGTCCAAAGGTGCCAGGTGGCAGTTCCTCTCCCAGTCTCTGCTCCCTGCAGCAGGAAGTAGCTAAGTAGCTGGGCAGCCCCAGGTGCCTGGCCATCTTGGGCAGAGGGCAAAGCCACACAGTCTCCAGCCGTACCCTGCTCCAATTGGACCCTCAGAGAGCCCCGCCCTTCCGTGCACCTGCCTTGGACTGTCTGACCGGAATGGTTATGGGAATGCACCACTTCATTTGTTGTTTCTTGGGGCCCAGCCTTCCTTTGATGGAGGGCCCCACTGCTCCTGCTTGGGTGTGCAGCCTGACCTGGGGTCTTCAAAGGAACCAAGTCTGGGGACACAAACAAACTTGAAGCCCTGAAGCTGCTGTTGTCCTGGGGGAGTATGAATTAGACTTCTAAACAGGAATGGGAGCATCATCAGTTTCTCTGATTTTAATGAGATCCTCACTCAACAACGTGCACCCCTCTAATATCCATCCTCTATTTCCTGCCTCCGTAGAGCCAGACTCCTTAAAGGATGTGCCCACACGGACAGCCTGCATTATCTGGCTTCCACGCCCATCTTTCCATGGAGCGCTCTGGCCGAGGCCACCAATCACCGCCTTGGGACTAAATATAATGTGTTAGGCATACCAGAGTTTGTTTGTTTTTAAGATTTATTTATTTATTTGAAAGGCGGAGTTAGAGAGAGAGGGAGAGACAGAGAGATCTTCTATCCATCGATTCTAGATAGTCACAAAGGCCAAGGCTGGGCTAGGTGAGGCTGTCTTCTGCATCGGTAGTGGAGCAACCGGGTGTTGAACTGGCGTCTATATGGAATGCCAGCATTACAGGCAGTGGCTTAACTCACTGCGCCACAGTGCTGGCCCCTAGCCCACAGAGTTCTGATGCACTCCTTTCCTGTGTTTCCACGATCCTGTCTTTTCCTGGTAGAAAATCGGGATTTTGATTCATCCCATTTGATATGGTGACTTTATAAATAATGAGCTATTGGGGGCCTGTCCTGTGGCATAGCAGGTAAAGCCGCTGCCTGCAGTGCTGGTATCCCAAATGGGCTCTGGTTCAAGTACCGGCTGCTCCACTTCTGATCCAGCTCTCTGCTATGGCCTGGGAAAGCAGTGGAAGATGGCCCAAGTCCTGGGACCCCTGTACCCACATAGGAGACCAGGAGGAAGCTCCTGGTTCCTGGCTTCAGATTGGTGCAGCTCTGGCTGTTGCAGCCAATTGTGGAGTGAACCAGCAAATGGAGGACTTTCTCTCTGTCTCTCTCTGCCTCTCCTTCTCCCTGTGTGTAACTCTGACTTTCAAACAAACAAATAAATAAATAAATCTTAAAAAAAAAAAAAAAAACTTGAACCAAAAAAGAAAACCAAAAAAATACTTGAGGGAAAGAATATTTGGTCCGTGATTTGAGCCTGAACTCTCGGTACCTGTCTGCAGTGACAAGCTTACTCTCAATCATGCTCGTCCCTCAAAGTCAACGGAAGGTACATACACGTCTGCTGACTGTTATAAATGACACGGTGATGGCCCAGGGGGTAGCACTGATACTTCTAAAAGGCAAAGTTGCCATCTTCATAGTTTCTCTGTTCTTCTGCCTGCCCCTACCTTCCCACCTTCCAGTTACACGCATACAGCACTGGACCTTGTTCACAGGTTGCCAAGGCTCTGAGCTTCATTGTGGTTGGTTTATTTTACTTGTATGTCTTCAACTAATTTTCTAAAAATTCAGTGTCAGATATGTTGTTAATTCCATCCAGTAAAGTTTTCATTTAAAATATTGTATTTTGGGGGGCCAGTGCTGTGGCACAGCAGGTTAAAGCCCCAGCCTGAAGTGCCGGCATCCCATATGGGTGCTGGTTCCAGTCCCAGCTGCTCCTCTTCCAATCCAGCTCTCTGCTATGGCCTGGGAAAGCAGTAGAAGATGGCCCAAGTCCTTGGGCCCCTGTACCCACATGAGAGACCAGGAAGAAGCTCCTGACTCCTGATTTGGATTGGCCCAGCTCTGGCCATTGCAGCCTTTTGGGGAGTGGACCAGCAGATAGAAGACCTCTCTCTGTGTGTCTCTTCCTCTCTCTCTCTCTAACTCTGCCTCTCAAATAAATCAATAAATATATTTAAAAAATTATATTTTTCATCTCTGTATTCTCTATTAGGTCTTTCTTGTATCTACCATTTTTCTCAGTACTGTGTTCATGTTTTCCTGGTCTGCTAATTCCATCATCTCTCTCATTTCTGGGTCTGCTTCTGCTGAGTGATCTTTCTCCTGGATTTAGGTTATATTTTCCTGCTTCTTGGCATGACAAGTGATTTTTTATTCGACCAGACATTGTGAATTTTATGTTGAGTAACTGGATTTTTATTTATTGATGGATTGATTTTTAAATATTTATTTATTTGAAAAAGAGCGAGCACTCTCATCCACTAGTTCACTCCCTAAATAACCCCAAAGGCTGGGGCTGCACAGGCTCAAAGCCAAGATCCAGGTTTTCACTTGGGTGGTGTGAACCCCATTACTTGAGCTATCACCATTGCTTCCCAAAGTCTGCATTAATAGGAAGCTGGAATCAGGATTCAGAGCCAGGCACTCCTATAAGGGACATGGATGTCCTAACCAGTATCTTAACCACTAGGCTGAATAACCTGCCCTGAGTAATTATTTGTTTGTTTGTTTGTTTGTTTTTAATTATTTATTTTATTTGAATGGCATAGTTACGGGGAGGGGAGGGAGGGAGAATCTTCCACCCCTGGTTCACTTCCCAAATGTCTGCAACAGTTCGCGTTGAGTCAGGCCAAAGCCAGGATCCAGGAGC